GGGGGACAGGCTGTGGGGCCCTCGGGCTGAGGGAAGGGGTTTGGGGTGAAGAAGGCGGGTGTTTGGGCCTTTGGGCTGGGGGGAGCTGTGGGGTGAGGGAGTGAGGCTACAGACCCTTGGTGTGGGAAGGAGCCTCTTGGCTGGGGGGCTCACTGGGGCACCCTGTCCTCCTGCCAGGCTGCGGGGACACCAGGCAGGTATGGTTGGCTATGACCCTGAGGCCAAGTGCGTCTCCACGGTGGAAGCGGCTGCAGCAGGATCGGCGTCCGGCTTGGTCACTCGGGTCCTTGTCAGCCCCTTGGATGTCATCAAGATCCGCTTTCAGGTACCTTCCGCATGGGCTGCTCGGGACAGGGGGTGAAAGAGCTGTACCTGAGCAGAGCTGATCTCGGCCTGGGTGGACAGGTCACTTGTGCAGCCAGAGACCGCTAAATCTGCTGGTCAGCCCTCACCTGCCTCGTACGCGGGTTATGCAAGGTAGTAGGGCTAACTTGTGTCGGCTGCTTCTGTTTGTATAACCTGTGTGTTTGAATGGGATCCTGTGTTTTCCGTAGTTCAGTCCCTTTCTCTGTTTTTCTGAATGATCTGAATGTTTTTCTGAATGATCTCCACTTCCTAACTGAATTTCACCATCTCCCTACTCCTTGCCTTTGGATTGCACGCGTGTGTTCATTCTTTTAGAGCCCTACATAAATAACATCCCAGTTGGTTCTAGATGTGATTCCGTGGGAAGGCAGAATGTCATCTCTTAGCATTGGTTGGCTGTCAGGGTTGTGAATTCCTGAATTGGACACTTGAATCTCGTTGCAGTGTGATGTGGAATTGCAAGTATCTTCTCTATTTTCCTCCAGCTTCAGATCGAGCAGCTCTCCTCCAGAAACCCAGGGGCTAAGTATCACGGCATCTTGCAAGCGGTACAGCTCATCTTCCGGGAAGAGGGGTTGGTAGCCTTCTGGAAGGGCCATGTTCCTGCTCAGTTCCTTTCGGTTGGCTATGGAGCTGTTCAGGTAAGGTGATCGGGCATCATCTGGGCCCGGTGTACGTACACAGGACTCTGCTTTGCTTCTCTTCAGACTGGCTGCATGGGCAGAGGCAGGCAGGTCCAGGTTTACATTGTATTGATGCATGCCAGCTCCAGTCTCAAAGGTGTGTAGCTGTATAATGCCTCTGTATAATTCCTAAGTTAATATTCCTGAGCTTGCTGGACGGCCAGCCTGCCTGGCCAGCCTGGAGCACAGCTGGAGCAAACTGAGTTCTGGCTGTATCTGGTATCATAGAGAAGCCCAGTTCATTCCTGACACTTGGCTCAGCTGTTCCTGTTCCCAGCCTGTGTAGTTTTTAGCTTTTGTTCATGCTGTTGCCCTAACGGCTTGTTAGGAAAAAAAAATCAGTGAGGCTGGTGATGGTGTTTTACACAGTATTGTTATGCTTTATTTGTAAATATTAACAACATAGTTTATGAGCAGTGGTTGAAAGAGTAACGGGCAGCATATCTGTAATATAGCAAATATTCTTCAGGACACATACACCATTAACCTGAGTTTTTCACAATTCTAAATGCAAGATTTAGCTGAAGTGTCAAGAAACCAGAATATCCCAAGCATTCCCCGGGGCTGCTCAGTGATTTTTAGAAGGTAATCTTTGAGCACATGCTCCAGCAGGTTGCAAGTTGGGGAGGACTTCGGAAGGACAGAGAGAGGGGGTTACAGGCGGTGGGTGGAGCTCTTTCGGTGAAAGGAGAGAGGAGTGGGCGATCCTTGTCAGTGATAAGGATTGACTCCTTGACCTGTGTATGTTTGTTTCTGTAAGTTCATGGCGTTTGAGAGCTTGACAAAACTGGTGCACAACGTCACCTCGTACGATGCCCGCCATTCCTTTGTGCACTTCGTCTGCGGGGGACTGGCCGCTTGCAAAACACTGGGGCGGTTCAACCTGTTGACACACTCCGCACCCGCTTTGCTGCTCAGGGGGAGCCTAAGGTATGGCTGAGGATTAACGCTTGGAATGCTCATCCGTAGCAGTAGCGATATTTCGCACGGGAGGTCTGAAAAGTACGTAGCAGTCTGGGGGTTAGCGTGAAGGCGCTGTTGCTGGGCAGAGCTTGCGCTGTTGCCGAGTCATCCTCTGTGCTGTTGACACAGCTTTCTTAATTAGGTTTTGCTGCTCCTGATTGTGTTTGATTCCTGACAGGTGATCCAGAAAGGAGAAACTGTCCTGAGCAGGATAACTCAATTTTCATTTCAGCTGTTGGTTATTTATAGAGCACACCCCCCAGTCTGTCCAGTGTTGTGTGTTTGAAACTTCCCACTTGCACAGAGTCAGGTTTAGATAGGGATGAGGGTGACACTTGAAACCAGTCACCTTTCACTGGAGTTTCATGTTCTTATTCATGCAAGAATTGGTCTCCAAGCTAATTAGGCCTGTAATAACTAGACTAATGGGTTTGTATCAGAGCCACTTGTGGGTTTTGACTTAGCCTGCAGTAGAATCACAATATCATAGAATCATAGAA